CAAATTCAGCCTTCCCTTACCCACGGGTAACAAGTACGGCCCCGTGAAAGTTTTTCACGGGTAAGTTAATATCTTGGGAACCACGGAGTCTAGGAGGCTAAAATTTTAGGGTAATGACCCCCTGCCCACGCTCAGCCTTGCCCATTCAAATTCAGCCTTCCCATACCCGGCCCCGTGAAAGTTTTTCACGGGTAAATTAACTCAGGAACCACGGGGTCTAGGGAGCTGAAATATTGGGGCAGTGACCCCCTGCCCACGCTCAACCTTGCCCATCCAAATTCAGCGTTCCCGTACCCGCGGGTAACACATACGGCCCAGTGAAAGTTTTTTTTCGTGTAAATTATTAACTCGGGAACCACGGAGTCTAGGAGGCTAAAATTTTAGGGTAATGACCCCCTGCCCATGCTCAACCTTGCTCATTCAAATTCAGCATTCCCGCACCTGCAGGTAACACTTACGGCCTCGTTAAAATTTTGGTGGGTAAACTATTAACTCGGGAGTCATGGAAAGATATTCACCTTTCAAGGTTTCGAATTCAGCTTTCATGCGCTGGTGCGTGAAATTTCTAACTATTTTCCAGTGTTTGAACTATTTTTGCGTAGACTAAAGTACAAAGCAGTGAAATAGGCTATCGTTCGATGGGCTGAATTGCACAAAACGCATGATCGCACCGGCTATTCTGGTGCGCGTTGCTAATTATCATTTTACTGCTGTGGAAGGCAAAAGCCTGCACCACACACAAGGGTGAAGCGTTATGTATTGGCTTGTGACGCTTTCACCTACGAAGTGTGTGCTACTCTTTTTTGTCACTGTGTGAAAAACTCCGCTGAGTTTTCATCCTGGTAGTGAATAAGCAATTTTTGGCGTAGTTTGATGCAGAATTAATCCGATTTCAGCTTGCATTCCAGACACTCTTCAAAGGAGCATAGGAAGCCTCCGTAGGGATTATCTTGCGCGCACTGTGGACAAACAAGTTTCGTAGGCATCAGCTGTAAATCGTGGACTGAGTTCGGCCTGAGGCTGAGCTGTGTGTTGATATGAAACAATGCTGCTTCTTCTCAACTTACTTTAAGTAACTGCTTGCCAGTGATAACAATTTTGCGCAGCAGTCGGAGATCAGCACTGTACAGTTGTGTCCTGAGCCGCGGCTCCCTGATTTCCACTGTTAGTGTTCGCAGTGGAGGCAGATGCTTGAGGATATCCGATATGTTGTAAGCATGCACACGTGGAAGGTTGTAAATCTGCAAGATCTGAGTTTTGCATTTCTGAACATCAGTTACTAATTTTTGAGGGGCGAGATTTTTGACGAAGTGAAAATCAGCTTGGGTTTTATATGTCATAGCTTCTTTAAATTGTATTTGCGCACGCCCAAAAACGTTTAGGGAAGGAGGAAGTGGTGCAGCGGAAAGCGTTGTCGAGTGTCGCCTCGGCCACGGGGACAACTAGCCCTCGCAGGTACTGATTTATCAGTCACACGCACAACTGATTACCATCTGACATTTACCAGTCTCATCGGCACTTGCGCATGCCAGGATAATCAACGCCATGATCAACTTCTAAGTAACTCTCGAAAGGGGCAGTATCGACAACTTCGTCAGTGAGTAAATACTGTTGGCATTTGGGGCCAATTCCGAGTTCACTCGGTTCTCAAAGAGAGTGAAAACGGGAAAGGTTTTGATTTTTGATAAGAAAAAAATATTAGCGCACGAAAAAGCGAAATCTATTGTGTGGGAGGTACTTGTTGACAATCCCCCCTCCCTTGTTCCCACTCTTCGGCCGCCTTCCTTTCAACGGAGTTGGCGTTCCTAGTTGGTACAAGTGGCGGGTGTCAACTGGAGGCGAGTAGTCAGGACTGAATCGCCTGATGTGTGTTTGCATCTTAATTTACCACTGACGTCGGGCCTTGGGTGTCGTAATTGATCCGTTGAAAACGTACGTGAAGATCTCGCAGATGACGTAGGCTTCGAAACGAATGTGGTTCAGGGAGACGAAGCAGCATGTTCATGTCACAGAGGTTCAGCATTTCCAGCTGCAATAATACTTCACGGCTGTTAAACACAACTTCTTCCAGAGCATAAAATACATTTCAATTTTATACATATTCCAAAAAGAACGTACGTAATATAGGGCCTGAAGGTGTTTGTCGGTGAATTTGACAATCAGATTTCCACAGATGTTCAGATGCTTCAGTTCCACTAGCCCAACAAAAATTTCTGGGTCGATTTCCTTGAGGCTGTTGTGTGAAATATCAAGCGTTGTTAGTTTACGATGGTGAAGAAAATCTGCGGCGCTCAGCCCATGAATTTTGTTGCTGCAACTTAATTTTGGTAAGCATTAAAGTGGTGCCCTAAACATTTTTAAAAAACCAGGAAATCAACAGAAATTTGGAAAGAGCAGATTTGGGACATGCTTTGTTTAGTCGATTTTTTTTCCCTGTTCACTAGAAGCATAGTTATGGCCAAGCAGCATGAATTTTTTTGGGGAATACAATACATAGCGAAGCATTGGGAGGGAAGAAGGTTAAGCTTACAATAATGATACGTAAAAGATTCGGCCGCCGTGAAATTTTATGATTAAGAGGCAAAATGAACTTTGTCTTGTGGACTGGCAAATTTGACTTGGACTTTGGAGATATGGTTTCGGATTTTTGCTGACGGACTGTTTTTTCAGAGTTG